AGATTATTTTGTTTTAAATTTTAGGCAACTGGTGATCAGCTGTCTGTGCCTGATGATGTCAATGTTTGACTCAAAGTAATGCCCAAGAAGGCATGCCGGTTTCTACACTATGTTTTCCTTCACTTACAAGCGCGTTAAATGCGCATATAGACAGAAAGTCCATTGGTGCATTATCTTTAAAACCAGATCAGAATAAAATAATCACAATTAAGTAATTTAATTTTTATCAGATTATATATGAAACTATTTATAATTTTTATTCATGTTAGTTATTATTAAAACAAATCTTATGAGATATATAAAGCTAAATATGTAACTTTAATAAGAATAAATTTCCTGCTTCATAAGGAATTGTTGAATATTTTTTTGTTATTCTAATAAGTATGACACAACACTTTTTATTTCTTATATATTTTATCTAGATTTCTGATAAGTAATACGATATTTTAATTATTTGCATCCTGGTTTTTCTAACTCCGATCTATAAATAACTAGAAAAATAGACAGTGAGGATAATGTTTATCTGCTAGAAGATTCAGGATAAATAAAAAAAAGTACGAGCAGACAACAAGTATTATAAAAACCCGTATATGTAAAATTTTAAAAACATTTATACTTTTACCGACCATTACCAAGGTAAAGTAACTTAATTGTTGTTGTGTGTATTTAACTTAATTGTATTGTTTTTGAACCACAATTATTATTTATTGTGGTCGTTTCATTAAATATACACAACGTTTAATAATATAAATTACGTACCTTTTCACGTACTGAATGATGCCAAAAACTTCTTAATTAGGTTTCAATAACTAAACAAATTAAACTTTCTCAAACTTTTTCGAAGTGTGGACAATTAATTTAATATCTTATAATAGTGATGTCAAGTGGCGACGACAAAGCTTAATAATTATTCATAATATTGTTAAGAATAATCTGTGATTATGATTTTATAAAAGTATGTATTCAAAAATTCCAAGAGAAAATATCAATGCAGAGAGACGTACATGCCGTCTCACTTCAGAAATAGCACTGAAAACTGATCCAACCACGCGGCAATATTCAGACAGAAACAGGACATTCTGTTGCTGCCCTCGCTCATCTGTTGGCGAATTTAGCTAACTACAACATTTCCATTGCATCTCTAAAACGCATTCTAATAATCGCTAATTTAAAACCAGCAATGAAACACAAACAGTAAATTTAAATCACAAATAAAGAATTATGAAGGAAAGAATAACTATAAACCATAAAGGAACATAAATCAGATAAGATCGTCCATCTCACAAAGGCTAGTATTTAACTTTTTCTGCAACTTTTCAAAAGCTCTTTTTGCTTACATATTAAAGATTATATCTTATATATCTAGGTTCTAGTCGTCTCATTTTAAATCTTCTTTCTACGTCGCAGTACAAAAAGGCGATACGTGAATATTGTTTAATGGATCTTGTGACTTATTTCTTCATTCAACTACTGTATGTTCATGTGATATGAAGCATGGATTTAAATATAATTGATTAACACAACTGTATGTAGCCATATAACGATATTGTCTGGTCCTGGTTTTGCCTGATCCTGTCCACATTAATGAAAGGGCCCATGGCCAGTGGCGTAACAATACGAGTAGGGTGGCAGGGCTGGTAAAATGCCAGGGGCCCCCGACCCAAGAGGGCCCCTGCCCAAGAGATACGATGTTATATGGATGAATGTGAAGTCTCCAATACGCATTGGGCTAGCGTGGGGACTACAGACCATTCCCTCTCACCCAAGAGAGGAGGCCTATGGCCATTAGTGGGACGTATACAACATGTAATTGAGTACGCTGAAAATCTCGATGTTTAGATATTAAAATTAAACTGAGTACAACGTGACGATTTTTACTGATAGGGCCCCATCAAAATAAATTTGCCACGGGCCCCAGATGGTATAGTTATGCCACTGCCCATGGCTAAGTTTTCGTAAAAAGATATGACGCCTAGATTATTCCACTCGGATCGCAGATAATAAATTAATTTATAATTGATTTATCCCTATAGTGGCTTGTAATGATTTGCTTGAACTTCAATGGTGTAGGAGAAACACTAGGAAACCTAGAACGACCCGGAGAGCCTTTAGTGTACTGTGTAATATATTTATTTAGGTCAAATAAATAAAAAATATTTGTTAAAACATCAAATCATAATGGTTTAACATAATTTAACTACGATACATTATAATTTAAAAAAAATTGTCTGCAATATCAAATCGCTAAATAAATACTTTCTTAATTATGAAAAATAATCCGTCTATCTTGACTAAAGACTCATCTGTCTCTTTTCATCAAATAGTAAACACGATTTGAAAGAAGGAGACGAAAAGTATCCGAGAATTCGCGATTACTTCATAAAATTGTTACATGGCAAGGACAGTACTTCGGCAGTACCTTAGGTTCAATGTACCTGATGGATACGTCAGAAAGCGACATCGTCCGCCGTTACTTCATGTGCCCACAGCTAGGACTAACCTTCTGAAAAGGGCACATATGATTCGGTGTATTAATTTAGTTAACGCATTACATAGATTAACGGACCTTTTTCATTGTCCGTTGAGGGAACTGGCAAAAGTTTTGTTATTTGTTAGTAGTTAGTTAATTCCTTGTATTTTTAGTATGTAATTTTGTTTTTCCTAATTAATTTTAATGTTTGCTTTTTTTGTGTCGTCTGTACATTTTATTCACTTATTGCTCACTCTTGTCAATTTAGGGTCGCCTGTTAGGGCAGGAGTGTTTTTATAAATAAAATAAATAAAAATGTTTTCGATACGTTTAATGTGCGCCATCTTTTGACAAATACTGAAATCATTTAGTACTTAGAAGGTTCACTATGGATGGATTTTTGGGTGAACTTAATATCAAATAGTTTCTATCAAGAGGAAGCTGTAAAACTTATAATCCTTTTATTATTATTTCCCATGTGAAAAATGGTTTCCGTAAAACATCATACAATGCCACATATTTTACTTGGCCCGTAAGAGCGTGTATTTTAGTTGGATTTTTATTACATGTTGGTAGTTAGTATAATTATTTATTGTACGCACCAAAATGGCGACGGTAGTTCCAATTTCAGCCGCCGGCCAAGAAAAATATGTTGCACTGTACTATAGCCCACATTTAAGAAGATCGAAGGTGTTTAATTTAAACAAATACATAGAAAGCCAACATTTTATTTCATCAGTTCCGCCGTACACAAGTACACAATGAACAATAACTAGACGTTTTGTATTACATAATAATGTCAATAAATAAGCTATTACTTAGTAATATAGGAGTAATGTTAAATATACAAAGGTACATTTTAAATGGGACACGGCACAATTTTTATACTATTGTTTTGTCACAATAATATATTTAAACCCATATTTATAAATATAAATATCGGTTTCATAACTTAGTCAATAATTTTTATAGGAATAATCGAGAAACAGTGTAAATGCCCCGTTTTAACTAGAGCACTTATAGTCTCTTTTCATCACATCGAAAATACATTTTGACAGAAAGAGACAAAAATGTTTCCAACTAGACCGATTTAGTTTTAATGAATAAGAGGGTTAATAGAAAATATAGTGACATCGGTTTTACAATTTTTATATAGATGTTACAGTTTGTTACATTATGTATTAAATTCATAGAGTATAAATTAGTGATATATACAAATTTAGATATCATTAGTTTAATGTTAAAAATTTGCTATATTTTCAACATACATTACGCTCTTATATGGCAAATTATGGCATACTTATTGTCACTTATGCGTTTGTTGTTTTATCTAAGGTTAATGTATGGGACAACAGATGGCGCTTAATCAGTTTTAAAACCCCTTCATATAACAATTAACACGCCTTAAATCATTGAGTGTAACCCTTAAAGCTTTAAATTATATCGCCCTTTAAGTTTAAATCTACTTATACGAATTATTCATAACAGCAATAAATATTGTAGGATGTAGTTGCAAGTCATATGATTATAGTTTTCACGTTTTATTGTTAATACCTAAACACGGCTAGGAACAAACATCAGTCCTTTAAAAAGGTTAATAGAAAAAGGTTTTAATGTCAAATTATGAAGAAATGTGCAGCTAAAGACAGTTGAAGCTTTTAAATTCAAGTTTCGTGTAAATTGTCAATTATTAAAAATATATAGTTACGTCACAGACAACATAAAAACGCACTTAAACTACATAATACTTAAAATTACATTCGTATATATTTGCCCCGTTTAACTAATGCATCTAATTACATTACTATACATATAATTGTAGTCTGGATAGGAACACCTAATACTTTATCAAAGCACGATTTCTATGACCACTAAACCATACAAAAAATAAATGGACATATTTCCCACCTTTTACACACTATCTAGTAGATTACATAGAAATCTTGCCAAACACAAATAAATAAAGCTTACGTAGAGAGAAGAATAAATAAAGCTAATAGAAGGCACGAAACATAAGCAAAACAATAAATTAGTAAGGATCCGATTACGTCAAATTTAAATAGATCTAGCCTATATTAAATAAATAAAATCTTAAGGCACTGCATAAGGTACCAAAACGAATTACGTACGTATAAGTACGTCAGATTAGAGCCATGGAATGTCTAGTTACATACGAAAATGAATACTGTTTTGCGTCAAGAAAGACCTATTATACATTGAAGATAAATAATCTAACTGCTATCTACAAGAACTAACATAAGCGCATATATACTTCTGCATTATGCAGAATAACAATACGGACACAATTTACAAATACTTAAACAAAATCCACGTTTTAATGAAATACAGTCATTACAAATGCGTTCGTCAGAGCGATACGTTATGGTAAATGTATTTCACTATGCGTGATATAAACGTCAAAGATAAAAATCTTTTAGGAAACTGTCTAATAAATATTCTGATAGTTAATACAATCCAGATATTTACAGCAGTATATACAGTTATATACAGCGCGTCCTGCGCGCATTCGCTAGCGATATTTGTATGATGATGGTAGAACAAAATCGCCAATATTGTATAAAGCATTTGCATACCAGTGTACGCCTTTCGATAACTCATTAGACTTACTCCAACTCGACATCCATCGAAGAGGAGCCATGGCAGCGTGTGCTAACGAGTGACTATTGACTATCGCATAACATGACGCTAAAGCATCATCAACTATAATTGTCCCAGACTTCGTGAGTGGCGCATAAATACCTTTTCTAGTGACAATTTTCGTTTTAATAACTCTAGAAGGTCGCATAACAGGTCCTTGCCCTCTTGTTAATAGGACGTCACCTATTTCGACATCAGCTGCGAAGACTTCTCTCCATCCGTCAGCTGAGGCTAATAGGAGTAAATGTGACCGGGTCGTGGTGATGGTCACACCATTTTCCGCGGTGACTTCGATAAAGCTTTTTGTCGCATTTGGATCTCGGTCGATGAAGGTAAGAACCTGGAAAGATGTATTGTACCATTAGAAACAAGTTTACGCTCTAATTACTATTTAATTTGCACCAATTATAGTAGAAAATTACCAGAGAATTTGTGGTTAAAAGTACTCGTTTCAACAAAATCTAAAGACCAATAAAACTATGAATGACACTTCTTTGAACGGGTATTAACAGACATATTACTTTTTAATTCACATTGTTTGAGGCTTAAGGCTGAATTAAATACATCCATTGTTAAAAATCATAATTTTAAAACATAACAGTAAAGATGTGTCAGTCGGTAAGTCTAATCTCTTAATCACTTTAGCTACAAGTTTTATAGTTACAGGGATTTCAGTAGTGTGATTATTAAACACAACTAAAATTTGTAGAAAGTTACTCCTAGTTACTAGTTAGAGGTTTTTATGATATCCTACCATTTTCACTTTGTAATTTAATATAAATAATATTTTTTTTATAGAACAGAAGGCAAAGGGCCTCTCATCTTATGTTAAGTGATACCGCCGCCCATGGACAGTCTCAATGCCAAAAGGCTCGCGAGTTTACGGCTTTTATTATAATTTCTTTGGAACAATTAGGATCTAATTCTTAACTCAAAGTTACAGATAGTAACTTCTATGGGCAGGAAAATATATTGCGGTTTAATAGTAAAACTTGCAGCGGTGGATGAACCTACCTACCTATATTTTGAAAATAGAATGCGTGTTAACCATTGATAATTTTTACATATAGAGACTGTATAAAGAGCGTAACATAATAATAATATGTATTTGTATTATCTGTGGTATCATAATATTTAAATGTTTATTACCTCTGAATAAATCGCTTTGCCGCTATCATCAGCAGCCAATATTCGCTCTCCTAGTTGCAACGTGCTTATGTCTCTTGGACCAGCTTCCGTGTGGACCATTGCCCCAGATGGGAAGCACCCAGCACCCGTTCCAACTGAAGATTCTGAAATAGGAAAAGAGTAATTTAATTTCTAATTATAAACAATTTTTTTCAACTTTGAATATGATTGAAATACACTCTAGACTATGTACGGTTCAAGTTACGCTTATTTCGTAAAAAATGTTTTTATATGCTGAGAATTCATATCTGAAATATATTAAAATTACTGTCTCCCTCTCTTAATAAGTAACCACAACAAACGTACAAATATAAAAATTCACGGGTTGTTTATGCTGGAAATATAGAGAGGTGTAGTTTCATTTCGACATATATTATTAATATATAAATCTATGTACACCTGAGGTCGTAGGTTCATAACCCGATTGTGAACCAATATACTTTCTTTCTATGTGCGCATTTAACTCACTCGTACAGTAAAGGAAAAAGTCGTGAGGAAATCCACACGCCATAGACCCAAAAAAGTCACGGCGTGTCTCATAGTCAGAACAGATGATTGAATATTAGAAAAAATAAACGATCACGAACAGTAGAGTAATCTGAGGTCCAGACCTTAAAAGGTTGTAGCGCCACTGGTTTGTTATTAAACCAAGTAAATTTATAATTGAATTGATCGAATATGGCAACATTATTACTTTAGAAATAATCTGTTCTCACGCAAGTAGAATTGGACGCAATAAAATCAAGACAAAGCATAAAATCGTGCAAACGCATATTGCGATTTAACTGTGTACATATTATCCCTTTAAGGATAACGAGATTTCTATACGCTCGTAATTAAAATCCGATAAGATGCAAAACAAAAGGGCCTTTTATTCTCAGGCCGAGGGTTACATTCGTGGCTAAACTATTTGTATCTCATACAGGTACGGCTTTTGTATAGATACCAACGAACGGATAAACCTGTGATTCTCTGCCTCACGTGAAAGGTATTTCAAGGAAATATTATCCTAAGCAAATTTAAGAAAGATAAAAAATACAATTCATTTCTTCTGTAAAAAACTAAAGTCATATTTAATTTTGTTTGTTATTCGGTAATGTATTTAAAATCCTCAGCCAGCTTAAACTGTACCTTCCTAATCCAGGTACAAAAAAGTGTAACGTGCAAATAAATGGCATCAGGAGATAAGTGAAATTGGATAGATTTAACGGAAGAAATACAAAATTTTTACTACTCGAGTATAGATACTTTCTATAGCAATTACACGGTGTAGCGCACAGTGGCGGTGGATTATCGCAAAGGTAATAGCATCTTTGCGCGGGCTCGTTAAAATTTGATTTGTTGTGTAACCGAGCGATAAATTCGAGCGATCCTTGTCCACAAACGGACCCCACCATATCACATTACACAATAACCGCACAAATTAGATTTCGTTTAAAGTCAAACTTTCATTGTCAAACCCTGTTTGTTGTTCGGTGAACATATTGGGCGCGTGAATAAAAGGTGTCGGCGGCTTTGCCTTTTTTTGCACATCCGTGCATCTTTTTGTTAGAGAAATATAAATCAATATGTATATAAAGCGAGCAGTGTATGTCTAAAACTTCTTACAGCAAAATTGTAATTCATGAATCGTATACAACATTCATAACGTCTTGATAGAAAACTCAAGAGAAGTCGTTAGATCTACCTAAGAACCGTAGCTCATATGTTCTAGGCCCTAGGGTGTCTCGACCCTTAACAAACATTTCTTTATTTCAGTAGCTACCTACTTTGATTTATTCCCGACTTAATTCACTTTAATTCGAATATTACAGTGGCGTGACACAAGTTAGGTTGATGGTGCGATAAGCGAGGTTCACGGGGTGCGGGGCCGGCGGGGCGAGCGCTCCGAGTGGCCGCGGCGACCCCGCCCCCCGCAGACCACCGGGAGAGCTAGGCGGCGCCCGCGCACCGGCCGTGCCACACGTGACCACTCCTCGACATCTCAACATTTTCCACGCGCATACTATTAATCGTCGTGACCAGGAATCATTTTAATTAAACCCTACCTTAAAATCGCTTCTTTAATGCCATTTCAGAACTTGTAAATAAAATACTACTATCGTAATATGAAGGGTACGTTTTGGCAAAGGAGTTCATTATAAAACAATAAATAGTATTTAAATACAGTAAAGTACATAGAGCAGTACTATTTTTTTTAAAAAAACCACACCTCTAGAGGCACCGTGACTAATTATATACCTATTTCATAAAAATACCAACATGTAGCCTATTATGAATGCTATTTATTATACTTTCATATATTACAACAATGTGCGTTTGCCCCAAGCAATGCTGTCGGATCGAAGAAGCTGATTTATATCGTAATACCCAGCAATTAGTTGACTTAAACCCATGCAAATGTGTGAGTCATACAATGCATGCATTCCTTTAAATTATACGAAAGTATCTCAACTTCAATTTATAAATTAAACATAACATAATCTCCCGCAGCGAAACATCTCGTTAATAGAAACGCAATAGCAACTGGCAAGTCATGTTCAAGTGAAGAATTTTCAATATATTTTCCTATATCTCTTGGAACGAATTATTGTAGACATTTAATATTTAATGTTACTGTGAAATAGTACTATATATATCCCGTATAGAACATAATAATCGCAGATCAGAGGGTAGTTATATTTTTGATATCTCTACTGTGTTTGAGGGTAGCGTGAATTTTAAAGTTGCAAGTTCTAGGCCCAAGAAATATGTACTGAAAATTGAAAACACCAAACTAAAAACGCACTAACAAAACACTTTTTACACGTACAGTTTCTAGTTTATTCTAGTACAGTCCAGCGTCAACAAACACCATTCCCCGCTTGATCTTGCAGCTTAATAGTTTTCTCGACTCTTCGCCGGAGAACGACCTATTATTGAAGCGTATGGGGGTAATATACTGTGTGTCAAAACGACCTTAGAGAAGATCAATGCAAAAGGTTTTCTGGTCTGGTATGAAAAACACTTTTTGTATAACATATAATAATTAAAATTTGGCCTATATATGCTGTATATGAATACAATTTTCGTATACAATAAAAGTCTAAAAGTGAGTATTACATTCCACCGGACGAAATTATTGTATATCAGATATGGCTTGTTACGACAAAGGTAAGTGAAAATTACCGTTCTAATATGAGCTGTATTATATGACCGATTATCATAACTTACTGAGATATTGCTGGCAAACGTTATGACATTGAATAATATAGTAAGCGATTCATTAAACGCCGATAGTGGTAAATTGAGTGAAGATTTTATATGAATTTAATGGAAATTGGTGTTCAGCGCACATTTATTGCCATAATCAGAATCATCTCGGTCAGTTTATAGGGCATTGAACTCACTTGTTATGGCTTCCTTGAGGTTTCAAGGGAATTTCAACATTGGCTTTATCGGTTACATGCATGAGTTTTTACTAAATCTAAATATCTCGGCTATAGAATGAAGCTACGTTGATCTACCGCAAGAATTGTTCAGTGAATTAAAATGTGAAAAATTGTTGCGTATTAATACTTTTTATAGTAGATATTGTTTTTAAATTCAAAATACTTGTCATCGAGATCTGGCAATATTAGCTATAGATGTGCTTTAATCTTTCTTAAGTGTTTAGTCATTGATAAAAATACAAAACGTATTTAAGAAAGCATTTTGACAGATAATCCTGATCTGTCAAAACGGTAATTGCTGTGTTGAATTTTTTATACCTAACCGCAATCAATTACTAGATACTATTTCTACGAGTTTTAGATGCAAATTTAAAAATGTCCAAACTATTTAATTAATTTAATGAACTAATGTGAAAATTATGAATCCCGATTACGTTCATGTTAAATACTCTATGACACGCTATATTCAATGACCTACGGAGGTGGAAATTGAAGTCAAGTTCGTGCGTTGAGTTACTCGTAAGGAAAATATGAATGGAACGAAAAAAGTGAATGAAATATGAAGTGATAGTGTGGGAACAGGCGACAGGGCGGCCACAGCCTTCCGGGATGTGGTGTCAAGTGTCGCGTGCACAGTCGACCGAACATCGTGCAGTCGCAACAAACTTAGCTAAATTAATTAAAGCCTTTATGTTTTGTACGTATTTGTTACTCATTTTCATTTATTCGAAAACTAGTTTTAAAGCCATTTTGTTTCCTTGGGTTTCCATTCATTTTTAGCTGTGTCCATAAACCACATAAAATAATTAAATTAATATATCTGTATGAGCCAAGGCTGTACATTTTGCTCACTCAGGCTTTCTTAGTTTTATTAGCGTGGCAATTTCTTAAATCGTAAAAGAGTATAGCAAGACGTAGGCACTCTCTTCGATGGTTACATTGCATTCATTCGTTACATAGCTATTTCATTATTTCGCTTATTGTTGTACGCGAGTGGTTAATATAGAGTAAAACAAAAAAATCTATTATTTAAAGCACCCCGATGACCCACCCAGTAACCGTACATTACAAAATTTAAATCAACTGAAAGTCCTTATCTCCACCCTGGCCTACATATTAATAGATAGTCGGTATATAGACACTTTTAATTATGCTGTTTAATTTATGAAACTTCGTTGACACCGTGGCAAGATAATTCGTTGGGTACCTATGGTACTCATTCAATTCATATTTCGGAAAATGATTAATGTTCCGTTTATTTATTTAATTTTATTCCAAGACAATAAACACCAAATAAAGCTATTTGATACATTACGAGACATTACACGATCAAATGTGAATTTATTGGACTTTAAACGTTTACCCATGAAACCACTTTATTTCTAACACAAAACTCAGATAAAATAGAATGGATTTTATCTAAACTTATATGAAATACACTTTGAAATCAAAAACAATTAAAATTCTCGAAACTTGATTCATGATGCCGACAAGTCCCAAAAATGTTCGCCCATTAGTCAGACGTTACAGTGTTTTCGCATTAATTGATTCCCCTGCGATTAGTCTAGATCACTCGTCCTTCACGCCAGTCTGCCTCGTGACCTGCCTTAGTCACGCCCCATTTGCACCTCCTTTATAACCATAGTCATCAAATTGTATTCTTAGAACCCCATTTTTGTATTGTATTAAATGTTTCCATGCTTATTATAAAAATGCAGAGAAGCTTAAAAAATCAACTTATTCAACTTAATCACGACATTTAACGGAACTTATATAGGTTTACGACTGTAGTCGTATAAGTTAGATTTGCTAATTTAAATCTAAAGAAATAGTTAAACTATAAAATAGACCTTCCGTTTCACAATATTCTTTGGATTTATTCGATCAAAATACAGAGTACCACTGAACTTGGGGTAAAAGCTTGTAAGCGCGTTGATATCTTTTATACGACAAGTGCAGCGTGCTCACACAAAATATTTACCGCGTCCTGTCACTAAATATACAACGTATTTAATAACAGAAAAAATATGCAACCAATGAAAATTAATTAATTGAAGATGGAATAAAAACGGTGTATATTTTATTGGCGGTCGAATGATGGAGTGCTGTGCTCCACGATATCGCGTCACGCGGCCAAGACTGGTTCAGTGATCATGGACATTACACGCCTCCAGACGCATCATGACGCCTTTTTATTTTCAATTACTTTGTAAATACTCGTAATGCCAGTTATAAATTATTCATTGGCTTTGATTTTTTATTCTTAAATAAACAGTTACAAGAATAACTTCCGCATATTTAAAATATATTAGTATGAATTAAACACTTGTTTAAAAAATGTTTTTACACAAGTGAGGTGAGTGAGTGAGTGAGTGAGTGAACCTAATGAGGTTGATAGACAAAAATGGTTATTGAACCTTGGCCTCGGCTATAAGCTAGAACGTACATCATATGTTCTTGTATTATAAATGTTACAAAAGTCTACAACCTGTCTTAGTAAAAATGAAACCATATCCATTAAAACTCACTCACGTGTATTTAAGAAAGTGAGTCTATTTTACGCACTATAAATCATACGGATATTTTAATAAACATTGCGTATTATAGCAATACCAGGAAACCATTTCTCTCGCCGACTTAACACAAACAAATCATGCTTTACACATTGATCACAAAGCAATTGGTTTATTTTAATCCATATTTGCCTAAAACAAGTGTTAGAAAGTGGACAGGATGAAACGCACATTGCTTTTATCTAAAACACATACACATAAATTGTTGTTTCTCTCATCGTTATGTTTCACATACTTATAACTATAGTAGCCATTGAATCACCGGCATAATTATAGAAGTGGGGGATTGGCTGCGATGCGGCTGAGTGTGAGGAGGATGTAAATATGATTTTTTTAATGTGCGACAAGGAGGGTGCGTTAACAAGAGGCTTGTTCGTCCGTTTGATCGACACCGCCTGAGAGCGGGCGCGGGAAGCTTTCCGAGATGCATTCTTCTTGTGATGCTCAACTATATATTTGGCCCTTGAGACCCAACCATTATTGCCATATTTATGTACCCACATTTCAATAACTGATTGGCTAATTAAAGTATGTATATGATGATAGCAACAATGATTATACAACATATTGAAATATATCCTTAATTAGAGATTATCTCTAAACCTAGGTATTGGTTATTTAAAGGTTAATTTAATAAACCTACCTGTTTTAACAGAGCAGTGTATATAGGAGCGGCTCTCATAAAACACCCAGTCGAAGCCAGCTTCAACCGCCAGTCGGGCAAGCATGCCGTACTTGCTTCTGTCTCTATCGCTGGTGGTGAGGTCCACAGCTCGCCCTTCGTAGTGCAGCGAGTTGTCAACATGAGAGTTTTCTTCATCCCATCCCTCAATCACCCGCAACCGGACCCCAGGCCATTGGTTCATCACGCTGATGGCTAAAGTATTCAACTTCTCTTTGCAGCGCTGTAAATTATAAACACTGTATGTTACTTATTGGTTTATTTCTATCGTTAAGTGATATTAAAATTGTTGAGATTTTTTTTATTTTATATGTTTTAATACTATAATATAAAGAACAGAATAATTTATTTTTGAATTCTTAGTAAAAATAACAGGCGTCAGATCTTTTATGCGTAGAATACAAATTTAAAATATTTTGGAATGTTCAAGAAATTTACAGTCGAACAGCGTCCTAAGCTGTTGGGAAATATTTACACAGTAATTCGTAATAAAAGCTTTCAAGTATGTTTTAACCTCAATGGAAGAAAAACAATTTGAAGCTATAAAGACACGCGAAGCCCTTTGTTTGCACTAAAGAAAATACCAATAGACGTGCTAACAAATTGAGAAACGTAACCGCCCGAGACGGAACGCGCAGGATGTCAAGCATTTTGTCGTGAAGAAATAAATCAAATTAAAACACGCCGCACAAAGGGATCGACACGATTTTGTTTGTGAAATATCTCAGGGAGACAAATAAAGGAAATGTCAAAATATTTGTAAAGAAACGCAGACAATACGCATGCACCGCACGCTAGCTTTGTACCGCGACATCAACTCACTCTATGCAGATTTCATAGTGAAAAAATTGTGAGATTGACGTAACGAATCGAAGCCATGGGTGCCTTGGCATCGGCTGCATTCAACATAACAGATATTTTCAAGCACCGTATATAATTACTTCTACGAACGCTCCAAACATTCACTTACTAAAGAGTTGTGAGGTATTTAAAAAGATTTCGAGTCTGAATGTTTAAGACACAAATCACTAATTTTATACGGATTTCGTAAGACACTTTGAGTGCCATCTACTCTGCATCGAATACCGACTCGTTATAATACAACTAGTTTATAGATATCTTACCCACCAATTAACGTTATAACTTGAGATATCCTCTTATTACATATGGTTCTAGAAAAACCGGTCTAGTGACATTAGAGTTTGGGTAAGGTCCTAAAGTCATTTCTAAAACCTGTAACCGCTGCTGACGATTTAAATTTTACATAATATTATAAGGAAAAGTTATTGGATACGTAAACCGGATGAATTCAGTACGGTTTTCAGTAATACAGTCATTATGATATGAATAAACGCGGCATCTACGAATCCCGGTGGGATGTTCAATGTTTACCGTGCAGACGTCTCGAGCAACCACACTAAAACAATCGAATGCTAAATGTATACTCAAACATTGCGTGCATTTTAACGTGGGAACACCACAGTGGCGCAATTAGCCTCTCACACTCAGCTTTTCAACAGCTTTTAAACTGATTAAGCCGTAAGGAATGTCCGTCACAACTTTCTTTGGCTTGAGTATATATATATTTTAAAAAATCTGTGGCGCTACAACAACAAATCTAATAGGCAAGTAGGTGATCCGGTGCCTGACGTCGTCGACTTTTTGGGTCTAAGACAATGTCGGTTTCTTCACGATGTTATCCTTCACCGTTCGAGCAAATGTTAAATGCGCACATGAAAAGAAAGTCCATTGGTGCACAGCAAGGGATCGAACCTACGACCTCAGGTATGAGCGTCGCACGCTGAAGCCACTAGGCCAACTCTGCACTGAGTATATATATATACGTTATTAAATTCAATGAGAAGTCGTCGTGACATGCCGGGCGGGCTATTATAAATTCATTATGCATATTTTTAGTAAACAAGCTGTCGATCACAATGCTTGCTCCCAGCGGGATGCCTGCCTCTGACACCTCACCCTCCTCTGTGCCCTGGTATCGGTAACGTTAAAACCAGTTCGTACTAAAGTCGATTTGCGAATTCAGAACATATCAAAGCATCATAAAGGATTAATTTAATTAAAAATAACAGGCGTATCGAATACCTAGTAACACTAAGGCCACGTTTGGAGCGCAGGCTACCTGAACCGGTGGCGAAACACTCACGAACGCATAATGAAGGCCGCCCGATGGAATTGAGGCAAAAATCGAACAAAAAGATATCAGATCATCGTACTGAAATAGGTGCAGTAGCTTACAGATTACTTATATACCTGTTGTATATGCAGAAATTGGAAGGAAATCTTTGTTCACAATGAAAGCCATTAAATGGCCGCTTCCATCATGGCCATAACAATATATTAAGATAATTAAACGGCTCTTTACATTCCTTAACACGTCGTTTTTTGTACAAGGGTAGCAGTCGAAAAGAACCGACCAATAGTGACTGGTTTATTTTTTTTTTCGATTTGGAAACCACAACAAATAGTTCAGGGTTAGTTTTATAGCAACCGTTAATTTGTTTCGAATGCATTTTATCTTGCCTCACCTTTTTAAGATGAATTTCTATGAACAGCCGAGGCACAGTACGTCAAACCTATTAACGGAATGCTGATGAAAATTCTAGTAATCTTTTCAGTTATTCAAAATGAGTTTGGATGCATTCCATTAAACAAAAAATATTTCATTATATCGCAGATATCTCCTTATTTTTTATTTAATCTCCTTAAATCTCCTTATTTTAAGTTATGTTATTATTATTAATTACTTAAGATGTCACGTGGAACATGGTGTAATGGTTGCAGCCCCTTACAAACGTTGTGTAAAAAAAAACATGGCGATTAAAAAGAGTGGCGGAGAGTTTATTGGCAGTTCTTCTCTTACGTTCTACGCCCTTGATTTGAGAACTGGCACTAAATGTAAAGTTAGAAGCATTTCATATTTCATATACATTTCTTTTTTTTTTGACGATCGTAAGTGTACATTGTGTTACGTTTATGATTAAATGATTTTTGATTTATTCTATGAGATATCAAAATCGACAACAAATCAACTTGTTTCATAAATACAGTCCATTACTGATTCTCCATACATACTGAACAAATGTTTGTCAGTAAATACGTCCTAGTGTGACACTGGTTGTCGAACACGTCATAAATATGCAGTGAGGATCAGCTGTGTTATGTTTAATACCTTCGATGTTTGTCCTCGAAAAACATCGCCCTGTTTCAAAACGGTTGTCAGTACCCGGCATTAGATGCATTACTAATTAATCGTAACCACCTTCCTAACTATTCTCCTTAGTTAGGGTTTGTAATGGTAAACTTGTCTTGGTATTCCCAGGACAAGGGTTGCTCATCATCACTAATCATCACAGATACAACCTGCCTTTGGGCGAACGTATTATTTATGGCATGTCAAGGCTTCCTATGTCTGTTTTTTTAATATACTGGAAATAAATTTCCAATCTTACTCTGGGATAATTGAGCATTGGAACCGTTATAGAATTTTTAATTTATTACAAACATGCAAAAATATAAATATTTCCTTTTAATAATATTAGTACTTTACGTGCATTTACACATTCAATTAAGTTTTATGAAACCAAACGTTTGGTAAAATGTATTGCCAAGAGATCGCTTTGTAAAAACCTTTTTTGAAACACGACACTTCTATGTTTTTTTGATGTAATGATACAGTTTCATTCAATCCAAGCATCCATCTCTAATTGGGTTTGTTCAGCTTTGGTAAGCAAAGAATTTTATGCACATATTTTGTAGTAAAGTTTCAGCTGAACAAACTTAAAAGCTCTCTTTGAATATTAAAATACCTCCGGACTTTTTACGTCTTTATTGTACGCCGATACTAAAAATTACTTCATGCGTCAATCAGCAGGTTGACATATGGATATAAAACTAGTAAATAATAAATCGTAACATTATTAACCAATTTTTTGGAAATGACCGTATTTTGTACAGCAACTTACGTGATTAATATTGTTAGGGTTCGATATAATAAAAACTTCACATTTCCAGAAATAAAAAACGATTCTTAACATACTTGCTCATTGTGAGTTATTGTAGACGTTTGAAATATCAATGGTGATGCGAAATAGCGTATTGTTCCCGTACTCGTCTTATTTGTCAAATACACTCGGATCCCCGGAGGCCGATCAGTTAAGTCCGCTTTTATCACAATCATGTACCTACTTCCATCATTTATACCCGCGGGAACCTGGCTATTATTTATACTATCATGATCATGCGGTAAGGGTCACTGACGGAGTCAATGAGAGTATGCCCACTGCTTGCAATCTGCAAGTCATCCAATGTATCTATGCTTCCGACATTATTCATTTATTATCTTTTTTCCTATAATACTTTCATACCCAATTGCATTTTAAACTAGTTATTAGAACATTTTGCAACAGCCTTTCACGCATTTTCACACCTGAGCATTAACTTTTTCCGTAATTATCCTCTCCGCTTAATCACGGAAACCTGCATTAAGCAGCGTGGCGTGCTAATTTACTGCGTCAACCCTCGAGTCGATAACTGCTGATCGATTTGCATCCGTAATTACGTCACTTTTAGCTGAGCAGGTGATGAAAACGACATGTACCTGATTGCAGAATGCAAAGAACAGTCTTTGCCGCGACCGGTCCGTAGCTGTTACTTTATGCCCCGCGTTAAATAGCTGCCGTGATAATCAGGCTCTGTAAATATGTATGTAAAGAAATGAAACAGGTTAACTATCACGTCTTGTTTTTCAAAGAGCCAGCGACGTTATCGGCTCACTGATGATTCTCATTAAATCAAATAAAGAGAGAAATCATGACGCGCCCGTGCTATCGTAATAAAATGAATTATTGATTTATCAGTGTATCTGAACTTCATAATTCCACCCGTCGAATCGCGTTTCACACGGGCTGATGCACAGCTCGCACACTAATCTTTTTCTTCGGTACGGTCCGCCAGTGCCTTGACTCAATCAAATCCCTCTCGATGCTTAGAAAAATAAAGTGTATTTGTTACGATATTGATTCGTAATCGCCGCTTTTATTGTTTATCCCCGACCTAAAGAGAAGTGATCACATCGTGGGCGCAAAGTCAACAGTCGCACACGGATCACAATATGAGTCCTATTTTGCTGACGGTCCCGAAGTGCCACTCGATAATATTTTATAAGACAAATAACGCGATAAAGATGTTTTGACGTGAACCCGTGTTCATCGCTCACACTAAAATGCGTTCAGTGAACGCGTATAATAAAATGTGTTTTAACAATACCTTGTGTTGTGATTTTGTGAATAAAATAAAATAAGTCTAGTGTCAACTTAAGGGTAAACGAAGCGTTAAGATGACCGGGAGGTGGTTATAATATGATGACAGGCGGTGGACTTCAACGTAAATCCATTAGCATTGTTTTAAAGGATTAGAGGGTTTACCAGACGCATTACGGAGGGACTTGACACGCATATTTTTATGACGTGCCCTTTTATTTTTTATATAATCAGTGTGAAATGACTACTGGCTTGAGTGTTCGATAAGATTCCATTTTAAGGTGTTTAAGTTTATCGGTTATTTATACATCTGTCACAACCTTTGGCGTTGCTATAAATAACACGGACCCAAAGGAATTCACTTATTTTAGACCATAATAATTTATATTCAAGAATATGGTACATAAATATTATGGTGGTACAATCTAAAGTTCGAATATTCTGCCATATATAATGGCGTGCAAATTTTCCTTTGAATTTGAATTGAAGGTTGAAATTTTTTATCACTACATCCTCACATTATTAATATTCATGATAATGTTTAAACAACAACAAAAGTAGTATATTAAGTCAATTTTTAAAAACTCTAGAAAGTTATTATATTAGTATTGTGGTAAATTATTATAAACCTCGATTGCCATACAAAGTGTTTTTCCTATACAATTCCTGATTAATTTTTAGCATGACCAATTTCGCCCCATGTCTGCTTCGGTACATAATGTACAACTATAATATTGACAAGTAACATAGGTTATTGATATTGTATTCCTAATTTCGTCATTTAAACCGCAGTATCACAGTTTGTCAGCGGCCAGAATCTATCGAGTTACACAAAAAGTCTTGCACCGTTTTTGTCTCGAAATAAATACGATATTTGTCGATAAAGGTGATATTCACCAACCATAAAGTAATTTATCCACAATCAATGAGTGAAACTTACCTTAAATTAAGGCTACAGGTAACTTTTGGGATTGCAAATGCATTGGAGTCAGGATATTGACTTACACTGATTCCGGTCGATTGATGCTTACGTCAACTGCTATTAGCCAACGAGTTGTCATTGGATATTTAAGTTTCATTTTCACTATGTGTACAGTGTTGGCCTAGTGGCTTCAGCGTGCGACTCTCATACCTGAGGTCGTAGGTTCGATTTCCGGCTGTGCACCAATGGACTTTCTTTCTATGTGCATTTAACATTTGGTCGAACGGTGAAGGAAAACATCAGGAGGATACCGACATGTCTTAGACCCAAAAAGTCGACGGCGTGTGTCAGGTACTGGAGGCTGATCACCTACTTGCCTATTAGATTAAAAAATGATCATGAAACAGATTTGGAAATCTGAGCCCAACACCTAAAGAGGTTGTAGCGCCACGGATTTTTTTTGTTTTGTTTTTTTTCACTATGTGCAGAAAAATTATGAACACTTTAAACAGCTGCTTAATTGAATTTAAATAGTCCATTACATTAACCTTTAACAGGAACGAACTGATTGACAGAATTGATGAAAATCGTGCCGATCAAAACTTGAGTAACCTAAAATATTGATTTTAAATAGCTGTAGTTAGCGCTGATCAGTTTTCGCAAACTCGGTGTGATCAAAAGCATTTTCGAAAATTAATTATCAATTTGTCGTGGGTGCCAGGCGACATAAATCGATCGGGTATATCAGCCTGAAGCACATTAGCCACGCTCAAACACGAGATAAGGATAACAAATGCTCAGTTTAAGGTTATCTTAACATCGCGGACATGAGACCGCTTTTTGCCACCGAACCCTCGGCCTCACCTTGTTTTGTGTAGGAGACGTCACTTCTCTAATAGCTTGATTTATGGAGACATATTTAATTCATATTGTAAATACTAGTTCATATTGTAAGTACAAAAGCCGTTCGAGTATTACGTAAGCAGATTTACTGCAATTTATCCCCCCCCCCCCTCCTCTTGTCAGCAAAAGTAAGTAAAGCTCTCAAAAATAATAGTACATAAACGTATTATTTTTTTATAGCAATCCTCGAAAATGCATTTCGTTTTTAAAAATAGACAATGTGTGGGTAATATGTGTAAAAAAGTAAATAATTACTGTTGACGTAATCACCAAATAAGAAAATCAAAGAACCCCCCTCGCCCCTTATAGTGCTTACGTTATACTGAACGGCCCCTAGCTATAAATATTTGTGCACTTATTAATAGTAGCTCATAGATTGCACTTAGATGAAGAAAGAATTCATCACTGTACCAATTTCGCCAAACTATTATATGGTTTGCACATTTAATCGTAAGAAATTAATGTTTATACAGATTTGTAATAGGAAAATATACTTTTATATAGTGAAAAATTATAGGCTCATACGACGATGCATTTTTGCGTGAGTATAGCAAGCAGATAATTTTATTACCAAGACTCAGGCGCATGCAAAATTGGAGTCTCACCTCGGCTCGACGGCCGTAAATAAAATAAAATAAGCGTCGGTGGGAGGAACTCTGTGCTAATGATTAAGCTGGATAACCCAAGTCTACCCCAGCGGGGTATTAAGACCGATATTATCCTCTCGGTCATTTAAAAACAAATTCTATTGGTCAGCGTGATCTTAAACCACTCAGGGTTAAATTAATCATATCCGTACAAAAAAGGTATCCGCGTATCTAATTTGATCGTAAAATAACCCCCTCCACGCGCTTTATAGAAACTAAGTTCGAGTTATTGACCAATTATCAAAAACCATTCAATTTATCACACATAAAGCGTTATTCTTTATCATACTAACACTCAGATTACACAATTGTATATAAATGTTAAAAATTACTCAACACGAAAGTCCAATTTGAATATGAATAGGTAGGCGCCATGTGGGCAGGTACATAAAAAACCGGCCCAAAATAATAATAGTAGACAAATGTCCCCCTTAGCAGACACAATGACCGACCTCAGAGATCGATTCACTTTTAAGTCATGCTAATTTGAAAGTCTAGAGTTTTTTTTCTTAAGCAATAAAGAAGCTCATACATGAATAACGTCCCATGCATTATGAAAAAATAACGCAATGCTGTTTATTTGGCTCATTACACTGTCTTCAACTAGAAAATGTACAATATCTTGAATACGTTAATCAAATGTCTCATTTTTTACTAAATAAGTAGCGTAATTCTAGAAAATGCAATTTAAAATACAATATGTATAATAACATTTATATTTTTTAAGACAAAATAAAGACAGATGGGCATAGATAATATGACACAGTTTACAATTAGAGATTATTTTTGTTTTATAATCTGTTTAGCATTTTTGAGCATTATCTATTGTGATTTGTGTAGTTTGTCATTATAAAACAAAAGAGTGCCCTATTAAACTATAGTTTACCGCGACTCCAGAATTTTTAGATTGTTATCGCCCTGATTTAGGGATGTGACATTCTGCATAAAAAATCGATTATTTTTTTAGCATGAAAAATCGATTAATAGATAATCGATTATTCCTAATTTTTGAATTAATTTCAAAATAAACACCCTAAATATTTTATTTTTCATGGTGTTTTTAATTAAAAATAAACAATAGAAATTATAAACACAAATTAACGTTTAAGAATAATGGAAATTAACTTAATCTCGTTTTGATAGATTTTAGGTGAAATTTTTATAAATGCTGAGTGTATGCCCTTTCAGTAGCACATTGCAGTATTTTTGTTGTCTTTTTAATTGTATTTATCTTGTGCTGCTGAATAAATAAATTATAGTGTTCCATTCAAACTTTAGTTTTTGTAAAATTAACTGGTTTTATCATCCTTTCGATGTTTTACAAAAAAAAAACATCAATACATCTTCAAAGAATTGGATTCAATGTATCGCATTATAAACATCGATGTATATCGAATATCCCTAAAAGTTCGAGGTCCGGGTTATAAAAGACCAGGCATAATGTCGGGAGGTGGCAGATGAAAAATCGACTATGATTGATTTTCAATTATAAAAATAATCGATTATTAATCGATTATTTTAAATAAAACAAAATCGCGTAAAAAAATCGATTTTAATAGATTTTTTTAATAATCGATTATTTTTTCACATCCCTAGCCTGATTCCACAAAGCTATCTTTTGTATTTTGTGACGATAATTCATTGACGTTTAGACTAAAGACGCAGTTAATAGGTGATGATAAAATGCT